ACCCGCTCGTGAGAGAGGGGATTGTATGAACCCATTCCAGCCTTTAGCCTGCTGTGGTGAGAAACGTGATTTTTACGTGGTTCGGCGTTAGCCGAGAAAACATTCGAGTTCCGAGGCCCGGCCGAGGTTCTGGTGGCAATGTCTTCTCTTGTCTTCTTCGTTCTTTGGCGTTCAAATGTTCATCCCAGAGATGATAAACTGGAAGAAGTACTATTGGCTGGCTGATCGGCAATCCCAGAGAAAATAACAACGCGCCGAGTTCAAGTTCGCATTATGCATACCGCCCAATGATGTATCCTTATATCGAACACAAGCAAAGGAGCAAGGAAGGAAAACTGCGGAGTAACAACAGACAAAGAGTGGCCGGAACTGAGTCCCTTCAGTAGAAGATACATTCCTACAGTGAGCTACGAAGTGAGGTAAGGGACAGTATCGTCAACGTGCACAACAGAAGAGACTCCCAGATGAAAATGCATGTTGAAATCGCTTCGCGCACACCCCGTACCATGATGCGTACCATCCTTCTTACTGGGCTCATTCCAAGAAGAGGCCAAGTGTTTAAGGCTATGAATAAGACCTAAGTGGACAGGACATCGTTGGGTGATGTATATGCATGGGAGGTAATATGCATGGGAGGTACCACTTTCGCAGTGTGAGCTGTACTAGGTTGACTGAGAACCTCCAGAGTATTCACTGATAGAGTCCAAATGTGCAAAAAGTCAAATACCAGCTACGTGCCCACAACAGAAGCCTCAAGCCATTCACTTCTAGGACAGCCCTAATAGGATTTGTGCCCTCTGCGGCAGAGGACCAAGTAACCACTGACGAGGTTGTAGTTGGAATTCCCTTTCTGATCCTCTCCTTCGCTTTCGCAATAAGGACTCGTCTTTGGCTAGCATTAGCCATAGAATGGTTCGAGTAGCTCTAAAGGATATCATGGGCAAATAGTTCGTTGTTATCTAGATATAGCATCCGGTTTTCACGATGCCCGCAAGCTGCCTAAGTCGCCTATTCACGGGTATACCTTGAACTTTGATTATTTTCTTTCTAGGCACGCCTATCGAGGAAATGTCTTTTCCGTGTTAAATTCAAAATTCCCTGACCTTTTACGTTCACTCATGAATACCAGTGGCCAGATGTAACCCCAGGCTCCACAGCTATATTGTACCTTATTTTCTCAGATGAATAGGAAGATTACTTTCCCCAACATCTAAGTTGACGAGGCCGGACTGCTCTACCCATTTAACTAGATGGGTACTAATTATGTCCAGGCTCGTGCATACTCAAATGCACCGTTAGGGAGGTATCATATCACAACTCAAAGGCTAACACTGCAAATATTGTTTCTTCGACTCGACAAACCCCAGTTGGTATTGCTGCGTCAAAGTTTTAAACAATGCGTCCACTGTCTTGGGACGCTGAGTATGCTTAAATTGTAATATCTTCCTAATGAATTGTACTAGACCACATTTTGGTACTCTCACCTATCGTGAGTTGAGTAAGTATGCGCAGTGGTTAAGTGAGAGAAATTGGTTATCAGTAGAGCCTCCTACAGGAATCTTTGATACTGGACAGAGAGGTGTTCTACTATATTATCGTAACTAGTAGTTGTATTTAATATCCACGAAGATCCCAGAAACTGATTAGAAATGTACCTAGCCCGAGTGTTGAGATCTGCGCTGTGTGGATTGCCATTTCCAACATCATTGAGTTCGAAATAAAAACGTAAACTATGTACTACTCAGACAAGTGAGCAGGAGGAAGATTATCACCCACAACAGCCGCGCAAAGCAGTCTGGAGAAAGCATTGTGAGGAAGCGAGCAACTCTGGCACTCACGAGCGTTGAATGACGGTCATCGACGAAATGTACTGAAATAGCCACATGAGTCCCGCTACAATGGCCCTTTCATTTGGTAGAATTGCGCCTATTCGTAATGTGACTGTTGTCCACTCTCTTAAATCTTCTTTGAGGCTAAAATTCATCATCCCCATATTGTCACGGCTTCCTTCGACGATTGGCGAAGGCATGCGCATCAAACACCCGCTAACTAAAGGTGTTTGACATTTGCTCGTCGACCACTGCTACATGACGACGAGAGAGTTCAAGTGAATACATATCACATCTTATCTTATCTTGAAATGCCATTATGTTGTACAGGCTGCGGAAACGGAGATTGCTGTTAGAATATTTCCATAAAAAGCAGGTGTTTACAGCTTCTATGTCCAGGAAAGGCATTACATTGACCAGAGGATGTAACTTTGAAGGGAATAAAACGAACGGGTGTCAGTCATCCTCAAATCTTGCATCCGAAGGTATCGCAACAATGTCCATCAGCGTTTGAAATATGATCTATATCCATGATAAATGTACCAGGACTAAGAACTAACTTTCAGAATAGCAGAGGCAAAACATGGACATGCCTCGACTACTCTACGATGGCCCACCAGCCCTCGCCATCTTTTTATCATGCCCTCTCTTCCTATTATGATTACCCCGACTCGCCTTATTTTTATCCTTCCAAGCTCGTTCGCGAGCACTGTCTCCGCTGCTTCCGGGAGCTCCACCGCCACCACGTCCTCTTCCACCACCACGTCCCCTTCCATCTCCCCTTCCACCCCTCCCACGTCCTCTTCCTCCCGATTGAGATGGGGGAGGGATAGCAGGTTGGTTCCCGCGGAATTCGTGTTTCTCGAGAATCCTGTCTTTGTTTGGCTAATGGCGCTTAGTAACATATATAAGGAGAAGGGCCAAGGAGCAGACTCACATTCCGCTCCAACATAATCCTCCACCCCTCGATCTGCTCATCGCTCCAACCTGTCTCCTTCTTGAGCTCTGCGCGTGGTTTGCCTCTGCGAATCGCAGCATCTCGATCGAAGAGCTTAGGATCGCGAATATAAGCCAATTCAAGGATTGTCTCGGGTCCTGCCTTAACTGGTTCACTTTCTTCTTCTTCATCACCCTCCTCCTCTTCATCTTCGTCGTCAGCGGTTTCTTCTCCATCTAGAACTTTAACTCGCGGTGCTTCTTCGAGGTCTAGGTCATCATCCAGGCTTGTGACGATAGTGGCTTTGGCCTTTTCCTTGTCCTTGGATGCAGCTGGCAAGGGTTCACCATACGGATCGAACGCTTCTTCTTCCTCTTCTTCGGCGTCGATTGCCTCTGCTCTGCGGAGGATATCGGCTTTCATTTGTTCAATGTAACTTCTGTCTTGGAGGGTGACATTTCTATGTGGATATACGTATATCAGTACCAGGATGATATGCCAGGAGAGTGGTAAGTTAGACATACCCCTTCTTCTTCCCAATTGTCACTCTCCTCAAATCCATCTCATCATCGAACACGTTTCGCCGCTCCCTCACGTACCGACTCACATCTTCCTCCTCGTACTGACGATGTTCCACTCTCTCCTCTGTATACCCATCCATATAACCAACACTCTCAGCTCTTTCCTCGCTCCCAGCATCCCTTACTAGTGTTTCCTCGCTGATCGCGCTTCCCTCAAGCAATGCTCCCAGCACGCGCTCCATATCACCACTATACTGGTCATGTGCGAGCAAAGCACGAATATATAAGGGTGAAAGGTCTGGTAGGATGTCAAGGATTTGCACAGTTTTGAGGTCCAGATCTGGGTCCTCTTTTGGTGGTGCAAGAGCAGCGGCCTTGCCTTTGCCTTTGGCGTCCTCCGGTATCGAGGGAGGAGGCGATGGAGTAGGTATTTGTTTAGAAGAGGGAACAAGAGCTCGAGAGGACCGTGTACCGCGACTGTCGATCCCTGGTTGGATCCCAGATGAGCGTAGGAGGATACGTAGCGCTCCGGCATCTTTCCCCTTTCCCTTCCTTCTTTCATCTGTACCATTCTGTCCCTCTAAATTACCTAACATACTCTCTAGGATGTCCAATCTCGCATCTCGCTCCTCCGCATCCTTCAGCGCATTTGCGAGGGTCCTTCCGAGATCGTACGAGGCTTGGTAGTCAACAAGGAGGGATCGATTTAAGAACGGGGTAGGTTCGATGTTATTCCCGTTGTTTGATGAAGAAGGAAGCTCCAATAGAGCGAACACGACATCAAACGTTCGTTCTACTTCAAAAGCTAATTGGCTTCCCTTGGAACTGGACAGATCGTCGAGAAGTGTCGAGAATAAGAGATGAAATGAGTCCATGATAGAGACTTTAGTTTGAACCCAGATAGGTTCCCAATCGTCTGCAGGGGTGGGGTTGGTTTCAGAAGCTGCATTTCTAATGAGCGAGAGGCCTCCATAGGATTGAGCTATCGATGCAAGTCCTAAATCGTATGCAGTCGCTAACGCGAGTATGAACAGTTTGTTACATGAAAATAGACGTAGAACTTCTTTGGGTGCGCACTGCAAGAACGAGAGCACACAAAATGTCGACTTACGCAGTGCATAGAGACCTTGCACTGGCTGGTCTGAGAGAAGGCGAGTCAGTGCTGGTACCAGCTCTGTTTCCGTGTATTTTAGCAAAGACGGAGTTGATTCAAGGGCAGCTTTAAACACGTTCTTCATCGTCTTCGAGTTTCTCGATGCATATACGATACATAGATCGACCAGAACCTGCAGATCGAGGCCATCCTTCACTAGAGCTATCTTTTCCGCAAGTGCCAAGCTATGCTTCCGGACAAGGGTCTCCTCTTTTGAAAGTGGGCGTGTATCCGACTCCCATATGAGTGCTTGAAGTGTCTGGAAAGCACTGTCTTTCACAAAAGTAGAGATGTATGTGCGGGTCGAAGCTGAGTCACGCTTGGACGGGGGTAAGGAGATAGTTGCGATTAGAGATTTCGAGATCGTTTGGTTAAGAGTTGCGAGCTGCGATGGAGAAAGGGATTTGCGCGTCGCCGTCGATGGGTAGGCGGGTAAGCGCAGGATGGGATCGCTCGTCATGGTTTCAATGAGAATAACATGATGATGATAGATATTAGATGGTAATTGCGTTCGGTATTGAATACACTATGGGAACACTATTTGTAAGAAATCCTCACAAGTCACTTTGCCGGAGTGGTTAACGGGATCGCCTGCTATTAATCAAACGTTAGTACAGCGGTTGGGCTTTGCCCGCGAGTGTTCGAATCGCTCAGGTGACGTCCTTTTTTTTCTTTCCATAACGCCATAACTGCTTAACGTGTCCACTGTTCAGTGGGTTATGTATAGCATTTGTTTTTTCAGAATCATGAAGTTTTAAAGTTTGCAAATCTTCAATTCCTCTCATTAGAATCTTTAATAACTCAGAATTACAAAAGCAGTAAGTATAGCGAAAACCAGGTCATTACGGATAATAATATGGATGTGGCAGCCCCGGATTATAGGTATACGGCTCGTGCCTGCCGTTTGCATTCCGAGGAGGCAACGCATTTCTACTTGCGCTATTCGGCGTATATGCAGGATAGTGTCCTTGCGTATTATTAGCTGTAGGCATTGTTGTCGGATGACCGTATGTATACGGAGAATGCGCATGGGAATGCGATGCACCTGGGGGAATCCGTGGCTGAGGGACATAATGTGTGGGATATACATACGGCCTCGAAGTTGTGGATGAAGGCTGATATGTTGGTCTCGTTGGAGGACTCGTCCCAGTTCTATAGTGTGTCGAGGATATAAAATGCGACGGGGGTTTGTAGACATAAGGTTCCGAGTTCGGGGCGTTGCTCCCATTTCTTGATAGAAAAGATGCAGGCGCAATAGGAGGGGTGCGTTGACGAGCAGGGAATTTGCTTGGAGCACGAAGCGCCGCTGGTGCGGTTGGCGGTGGAACGTTTTTTGTCGCGGGACCTCTGGATGACTTGTCTGACATCGTACTGTGGGAAGAAGACGCAACAGGCGCAGACGATGGTGGAACTGGCGCAATCTTCCTCTGCGGACTGTCTGGTAGAAGAGCACCCATAGGAGGGGCTGAGTCTGGAAGTGTGCTGTTCGAGATCGCTGTTGTAGGCGGAGGAGGAACTTGAGAGGCGGACGATGACGGAGGTGGCTTCTCTGTATTTGGTGCAGGTGATAGTGACCGTTTTGGAGCGCTAGTAGCTATTTCCTTGAGATTGAGCTCTTCTTCATTAGCTTTATAGTAGCTGTTAACCTGGCTCGTCGTCTAACGGGTGTAAATGAGCATCTCTGTTCACCTATTTAGGAATCAAACACACCTTATTGGGCATACTCGCTGATATCCGCTTGAAGTCGTCTCCATGTCGCGCAAGCAACAAAAGGAACAGCTCTGAATGGATATACTGGTCAGAAAGCCAGCAATAGCTCGATATATTTCCACTGACTTTTATCTTCCTCTGACCACTGTGTCCCGGAGGGCTGTGGCTTGCGCCCATGAGCGGATATTGATTCGGGTTGTTCTGATTCAGGTTCCGGAGTGGGATTGTCAGCTTCCTCAGGGACGATCGCTGCTGATTTAACTTGTCGTGTCCGCTTTGCCCGTTTCGGTCGCATTTGGGAATCCTGCTGCCCACAACAATTGTTAGAATATGTAAGCATTGTTAAAATAAGGATTATTGATACGAACCTCAATCTCGGGTTCAGGCTCTTCTCTGCTCACAGATACAGTCCGACTGGCAGGGGCCGTACTTGCAGCCGTACTAGCTGCAAGTTCCGCCGCCGCCGCCGCTGCAGCTGCAGCCGCAATAGCAGCATTCGTACTTCCTGGAGGTCTACCTCGTCTTTTCACAGGCTTAGCATCTGGTTCTGGAGTCGGCGTCGCAGTAGGTGTAGCTCCCGCCTGCAGCACCGCAGACACCCTACTACTCACTGGCTTCCGTCCTCTCGTCAACCTCCCACTAGCAGGTGAACCAGCTCCTGCATCTCGAAGAACCTGCGCGTCGTGCTGAGCAATATCCGCCAATAGCGCATTGCCCTTCTTCTTCCCTGTACCACGCCGCCTGCGTTTGTTTGGAGCAAGCATTGCGACGACTTGGCGGAAGTTGATATGTCGCTTCTTGTGGAGGTAGTAGAACGCGACACACTGAGCTGCAGTCTTATGGGGTAGATGGTCGGCGATGATCCCGAACTGCTTTGGGAAGGCAGCATACTTGTCGATGAAGATCTCCCGCTCCTGCTGTGTCCAATCCTCGATTCCAGTATCAGGAGCATAGTACTCATGCGGGTGGTCCACTCGCCGCGACGTATCGTCGAACAGATACTCCACTTTCCCGCGTGTGACTGAAATCATATCAGGAATGGTAGCAATGTTTCGCATCGATAGATGGTGAGCATCCGTAGCTTCATCGTACCCAAGACTAGCAATGATTTGCTCCATCTCAAGGTCCGAACGAACAGCATCTCCGAGGGCAGCAGCACGCCTCGTCGTGCGACCCATGTGGTGCGCAACCTCAGCTTCAGAATTCCGCACTCTCGACTTCTCATTTAAAGAGGCACACTGAGTCCGCCATCGTTCATGCAACGACAAATACTCCTCCTTCAGTTTCTGCACCTTCTCCGTTATTTCAGTCTGCCGTTCTTGGAAGTACTCCACCAGGGAAGGCTTAAGTGCACTGAAACTTTTCATGCGCACCTCCATGGGAGTCCCAGAAGTCATCTCGTTCACTACTTCTTGTGGTGAAGTAGTCGATTGAGTTTCTGATTTCGGTGCAAGTCTACGATTGACTAAAAGGATGGGGCCAACACGATCATCGCGCTTCTGATGATCAAAAAGCATTCGTGTACGAATTGCCATACGTAGAGCTTCAGAAGTTGATCTCTGAATGGGCTGTGTGGGTTTCGGTGTTTCTGGAGTTGGCTGGGGCGGATGCACAGCTGGCGTTAGAGAGGCAGTTTCTGGTGGAGGGGGAGGCGTGGGCGTGGGAAGTTTAGATGCGGGTGTCTTGAAATTTACTGGTGGAGGGGCGGGACTAGGCGTCTTTATAGGCGCAGGTGCGGGTTCATCAACTTGCATTGCATCAGGATCTACCTTTGCCACAGGAGGGTCAGTTTCTTCCTTTTGCGTTCGAGAAACGGGTGGCGTGGGTAGAACTGCAGTTGTAGCTGGCGTTTTCGATGGAGGAGCTGTAGTCGTAGCAGGAACTTGAGGTGCAGGAGGGGCGGCGGAAGGAGAAGAAACAGGAGTTTCCAAAGAAGTTGCAAGTGCTGGTGCGAGAGGTTTCGCGGTTGGAGGAGGAGAAGGCCAGCTTTTAGGTTGTCGTGGAGGCGTTGGTTGAGCGTTGGAAGCTGAGCGACTACGGTTTACTGTAGATCCATTGACAGTACCGCCATTGGCGGCTTGTATCGCTGCAACAGCTAAAGAAATGAACAACGTAAATTGAATTTTACACACTTGAAAATGGAGAAAAACTCGTTCGTACGTTTCGCCGGTAAACCTTGAGGAAACTTCGGTCGTTCTGGTAGTGCCTTGGCAGCGTCTTCAACCTTTATTACGGTAGGTGTTGCAGTAGCAGCAGGTCGTTCAGTTGCTTTCACAGACTTCATAGCTTCCACGAGAATGGGTTGATTCGCAATAGCATCATTGGGTGTTACCTTCCCAAGAAGACTTAGATCAGCCAAGGTAGGTTCTGGATACTGAGAAGACAATGGAGGATTGGAGGCTCTATTCTCAGAGTGGTTCGTAGATGCAATAGAAGAGCGGGATGAGGACCGACGCCTAGCCTTATATCTTCGACTCACGTCTGGGTCATAAGAATTACGATAAAGCTCGATATCCGAATGCTCGCCATAGTAAGGCCGATCTCGACTTGGAGAGCGAGCTAGACGCATTCGCTTGCTTGGAGGACTCCGCCATGAACGAGGAGATACAGAGCCAGGAACAGACCCAGAAGCATACGGGGCTTCATAATGATCAGAGGCGCGAACAGCAGTAGAATCTCGTCTGTAAGAAGCGACTGGGGGACTTCCAGGTTCACTCGTGTAAGGAGGCCAGCTAGATCCAGTAGGGTCGTACTTGGGTTTGTACGGGTTGTAATGACTGCGAGCCAAGGTCGTGTAAGGTTCCCACTTAGAATTAGGTCGATAGCGTTCAGTCCCAGGTCGATAGAGCGGCCGATCAGCAGCAATCACATCATCAGCATTATTCGGTGAGGTGCGGTTTCGATAGCCAGAGTAAAGGTCAGTGGGTGTGATCTCAGAGCTGACGAATTTGTCCAGTTTAGGAGAAATGAAAGGAGGGCAAAATAAATTTGAAATACCCACCGATCTATTCGTGGCCGATCCACATGGGTCTGCTTCCACGCATTGGATGGCTCAAACATCCTCTTATCCTCCCTTTCATACACTCTTTCCTTGGGAGATGGCGCGGTCGGTGAAATGGGTGGTGCAGGTCTTCGATCGGACCATGATGCAGATGGAGGCGGCGGTGGCGACCGCCATGACGAGCCAGCAGGATCCCAATCGTCAGTTTCCATGGCATGAGGAGGAGGATATCGTTCAGGGCTTGGAGAACGATAATATGCATTGTACTCAGGCCGATATACGTTGGGCGCGTTTGGTCGATAGACATTAGGATATTCGGGTGGGTACGTTGGCCTATCGTAGCTATATCGACGAGCTGGCACTGCTATTGGACTTGAGGGCCTCTAGGGTAGAAAAGAGAAGAGTAAAACATGAGTATCAGGTGTGTGAAAGTGGATTTAAAACATGTATGACACTGACTTCGTAGCTTGCCGATATAGACCCTGAAGGTTGACGCGGGATGTAACGAAAGGATCGAGCAGGAATATGGGATGCATCATAGCCTCCAGAAGACATGAGAAGCAAAGAAATAGGTCAAACCGCGGAATACGAAGCTTGCGGAGTTTGTGCAATTAGTCAGGTAAGACCAAACGGATTCCAGATAAACCTGAGACAGATGAAAGACAGGGATAAGCACAGATGGAACAGGGAAGATCAGAGATATCATAGACTATGCCGAGATAATGCTGAAAACGGATGGAAATCCAAATCCAAAGCCAGGCGTGTTGCAGCAATTGGACTTGAAGTTTGCGCGATTCACAAGCAGCAGCCACAGCAGCGCACAGCCAAACAAACATGCTTGGTCGGCTTTGCGCCTATTGTTTTCCACCGCACATCAACCAATCTTCGGCAACTTCGGGCCAGCGCTTGTCTTATGTCATCAATGGACTCTCATTCACCACCTCAGGAC